GTTATCACAAAAGTGTTCCACTTTGTGAACACTTTGTTCTCGTGTCCCATCACGTTGGAGAGACGGAGATGCGAAAGTTAAAAATACACTCATACAAATCATATGATTGCAAGCCATTAACCGCTCGACTCTGCGAATGATGAATGACGAGTAGAAAAGACTCGGTAACAGGTATGTTATTGTGGAAGTGTACATTTCCACCCTCGATCAAGTGGGCATAATAAAAGTACATTTATATATCTTCACTTGATGATTTTTGGATATCTGTGCGAACAATTTGCGTGACTGTTATATGTATATGTATGAATAGCTCTCATAATCATCNGTGTTTGTTTGTGTGTGTGTGTGTGTGTGTGTGGATGTTTGCTGTGCACTGGAAACGTGATTTGTGCCGAACGAGTAGCACCAAGCTTGCACGCTGCACGGCAGTGCACTCACTAACACGAGCTAATTGCTACCAGCTGAATGGAGGCGCAGACCAGCCACAACACAGAGGCGCGCCCACGTAAACCAGCACACGCACACACACACGCACAAACACACAGTACCCAATTGTTCACGGTCACGCTGTTGTGGGTACGCACGCACGCGTGCGTGTGTGCGTGTCCGTCCTTGAGAGAGAGAAGTATACGGAAAAATCACGTTCTTCTTTTTATGCATTTCCTCTGCTCGGATTCACTCCATTCACAAGGCGTACTGACCACATGGTTGGTATTCGATATAAATATTTAATGGCACTCTTACGTACATCAGAACGATTTCATTTTCTCGTTGACTTCCCGTGTATTTGTCGTGGCTGCTTTCCGTCTCCACTGCAATAGGTGCCACTATTTTCCAGTGGACCATCGGAACACCGTGCTCCAACGTCCATCTGCCCGTCCGATCGTCCGTGTGTTCGCGTGCACACACCGGCGCGTACACACACACGCACATTCCAACCGTACATCCTTAATTGAAGCGAACGTGGTCGTCAGCACTCGATTGCAGCCAGCGTTTCGTGTGTGGATAATATCTGCCCGTTGAAAGTAAAATGTCTCGCCACTCTGACGATGGGCCCGTGGGCATCTTGAGAACCGGGAAGGATGAGTCAATCGATACGGATATGCCTTTAGATATGCAAAATTTTATTTTGGCCCTATGTGTGGATGCCACAAAACGGTATAAAGTGGAACGTGAGATTGCACTACATATCAAGCAGAAATTACAGGAACGTTATCCGGGGCATTGGAACTGTATTGTTGGGATGAGATTTGGAAGGTGAGTGAGTGAACTGCGTTTACACGTACGTGTATTTACCCACACCTGTACTGAGACAACGTATTCAACGGACTAAGAAAACACTTGGGTCACGTTTGGTGGCAATTAAAATTCGATGGATAATGATAGTGAACTACACTTCAGAGTGAGAGAAAAACACCGGATGACCTCGAACTGTCTAAAATTTTCATGATGGACATGTCTTTACTAACCCTGGGGTGTGTCTGTACATCCGCGCATGTACTCTCAGAAACCCTGGTATTACCTGTGACATTTGCCATCGATAATCTTTATTCTAGTTGTAAACAATTAGGGGTGGTTTTTATAATTTTATTTATTTTATTTTTATTTATTTTATAATCACAGCCAATAATTGGCATAACAGCTATAGTAAGTTCATTTTTTTTTGCGGGG